GAGTAATGCGAGTAGAGGAGAGATAAGACGATCACAGGGATGTTCAGGGCAAGATCTGAAAGAGATCGACGGGAACCTGGTGTACAGAACAAGGACAGCCATAGTGCAGAAATGTCAAAAAATTTAAATGTGTTTTTAATATCATTTTTTCATATTTTAAAATGTATTATTAATTATATGTATTGGGTCAAAGATGCATAAGAGTGTCCACAATAAAGAACAGGAAGGATAAATCTTGTTCATTTGAAATGGAATGAAAAATCTAGTTAATGTTTATCTTCGTTTATGATTGTGAAAAGCTGTTTAACATTTTAAAGGAAACTTTTAAGTGTAGGCCTACAGAAAGTGAAAAAAGACATATTTTCAACACACTTTCTTTACACCTATAATATATTTTTATGAATTTTTAATAATATATTTTTACAAAGTAAGTTTTTCTTTTTTAATAGTGGCTTCGGTTGAAACTATTTTCATCGAAGAACTAGAACCGGTTCGCAAGAAATGCGTTTTTGTCTGAAACGCAAGTCACTCGATATTAAGTTCTTGTTTATTCAACAGTTGTATAAAATCGTTGTAACGTTAGTGTTCTATACAGGTTCTTTTTCATGCCTCTCTCACTGGATGAGGTAGGCCTACAACTTCATACAACCCCATTAATAAGAAAACAACATCGAGCGTTTATCTACCTCCGTTAACCTGCCATTACTCTCAACAAATAGACTGCAGCCTTTCGCTGTGTTTGTCTTGGCTGGCCGAGCTGTGAGATGCGGTGGCTGTGCAAAAGGAGCGTTAGTCTGGAGGGCAGTGACCGTGAAAATACCAGTAGCACCTCGATAGCCCCCTCCTTCACCGACACCGATAAGAGGTCAGTGCTGTCAGTCACCGCGCTTCCGTACATGACAGGAGTAATGCGAGTAGAGGAGAGATAAGACGATCACAGGGATGTTCAGGGCAAGATCTGAAAGAGATCGACGGGAACCTGGTGTACAGAACAAGGACAGCCATAGTGCAGAAATGTCAAAAAATTTAAATGTGTTTTTAATATCATTTTTTCATATTTTAAAATGTATTATTAATTATATGTATTGGGTCAAAGATGCATAAGAGTGTCCACAATAAAGAACAGGAAGGATAAATCTTCATTTGAAATGGAATGAAAAATCTAGTTAATGTTTATCTTCGTTTATGATTGTGAAAAGCTGTTTAACATTTTAAAGGAAACTTTTAAGTGTAGGCCTACAGAAAGTGAAAAAAGACATATTTTCAACACACTTTCTTTACACCTATAATATATTTTTATGAATTTTTAATAATATATTTTTACAAAGTAAGTTTTTATTTTTTAATAATAAATAATAAAATTAAATTAAAATAATTAAAAGATGATGGCAAAGTACATAAGATTTTTTTTTCAATAATTATTTTTTCCCATTATATCACACTGAAAAAATGGTGTAGGATTTACTATTTATAGAAATACTGAAATAGTACTTTCTTGTAAAACATACTCCAATTATCTTTATTTTATTTACATGTTTAAATGTTAATTTTTTTTTTTTTTACAGCACAGGACAGTATGTATCAACCTGTCATTTTTTAATGTATGCATTTTTAAATTCACACATATATATGAATTGCATTTTAATGTATGTAAATAAATTAATACAGGACAAAAAAGTGTCATGTCATTGATCCTTATATTACCGTGAACTGCACAGGCCTAAACAATCATGAAACGATTGACATCTATGACAAAAAATATATATTTTAGAAGCTGATAAGCCTATTTATTTTGCTATTCTATAACTAAGCATGATTATGCTATTTTTTTATCCTGTCATTCATGACGTCATCAGAAAAGCCCGGTTGATTCACGAGTTGAGAACCACTACTATATATAGTGTAGTTTTATAAATGTTGCAGTGTGATAAAGATGTGAACCAGTTTACGCTTTGTGTGATTGATGGAAGTTTACCGCAACCCTGAGTGAGCCATGAAAATGTTTCTCTGAAAGAGCTTGAAAGCAGCTCTGATATTTCTCTCAGTACTCTCTCTCTCTTTCTCATATACACACGCACTTACGCACACGCACACACTGGTTTTCAGGGTCGTTCAGAAGCAGCAGTGTCTGCTGTTTCAGCCTAGCTCAAGGTCAGCACACAGGCATACAAACACAAGGTCGCTCTGTTCACAGAACATAAAGGAACAGATGCCAAACACACAGGTCCCTCCCTCAAACACTAACGCAACTCGGACGGCACGCACACGTCCACTGGCTTAACGACCTGGACTGATGGCTTCCGTCCTTTAATGGACTATCAGGGTTAGCGCAGGGACTGCGTGGGTTGAGTGATGTGTTGTGTTTGTATGTGAGTGTGTACACAAGTAGGAACTGTCAATTCAAAGTTGAGTAAATGGACCTTTTCTTCCTGAGCATAACCCGGAGGCCTCGTCGAGTGCACATTGCCTGCCCTTCTTCTGGCTTTTGTGTGGCTCTTTGAAACAATGTTTAATGGAGCCTTTTTCTGCTGCTCTAGGTTTCGGTAAAGGGATTGAAAGCATGGCCTTGGCATTGTCTTTCTAACTGAAGATGCAACAATGGAAACAATTGACTTGATGAACTGAAAGTATAAAAACTTGTTTCACATCACCTTCAAGCAAGGGCAAACAGTATTTAGACAAAAAAAATGTAATATAACACTTGGGAGCCATATTATAAGTCTGAAGCCATACATCTTTATTCACTCAGTAATTCATGTAAATCTTTATTTAAATATGGCTATATGGCGCATGTTAGATGGGAATTAATAACTTAAGTCAGTTGTATTAACCCTGTAAAGACTGACATGAAATGATAGAAAAACCTTTATTTATTTTTTAACTGGAACAGATTATTGAACCTTTAGTCAATAGTTTAAGTAAAAAGTTTACATATGTATTTTCGTTGAGTAATATTTTACTTCATGGCTCATATAGTATGATATAGTACAGGGGTAGGCAAGTTCGGTCCTAGAGAGCCACAGTCCTGCAGAGTTCAGCTCCAACCCTAATCAAACACACCTGAACAAGCAATGTCTTTAGGATGACTAAGGCTATAGGCAGGTGAGTTTTGTTTTCAGGGTTGGAGCTGAACTCTGCAGGACTGCGGCTCTCTAGGACCGAACTTGCCTACCCCTGATATAGTAGAATATGAAGATTTCACAGATGCCTAAACTGAGCAAACATAAGTAATTTAGTGCAGTTAGTGACCAAATAAGTATGGTTAAAAGTAAGATGAAATTCTTATAATTCCTAATTTGCGTATTAAATATTATATACAGTAGGACTCCTTTTATAATGCTTTTTGGAGACCAGTTTGGTGCTTAATAGTCAGTATGAACTGTAAGGTTGTGTTAAAATTTAATTTCTTCTTTTACACTCCTCTGAAAAAAACAACAACAAGGGTGAGTAAATAATGACAGAATTTTCATTATTGGGTAGGGTGGCCATATGTGCCATTTATACGGGACACGTCCTGCCCATGATTTTTCTATTGTCTAAAACATCCAAAGTAGTTTGACCAATAACATGCAGGTATTGTACATAATCGACCAATCGTGGCGCGTCGCTCGTGAGAAGGTGAGAACGATCAAGGCGATGCACATGCGCGCACGTGTTTGTTCGTTCGTTCGACTTGAAGCTGCGCACCGATCATTGTATGACACCAAAGTACTGCGAGAGCGATTTGAAAGCATAAGGAGCCGTCTGCTCTGCTCTCAATAGCTCTCGTGAAAATAATGTCATACAACGATCGATCTGCACAGTGCAAACAGCCAAAAACTGGATATTTTAGGCAATATAGAAATCCTGGCAAGGGTGCGTCCCGTAAAAATGGCCCATATGGTCACCCTATTATTGGGTGAATTAAATATTTTTAAAAAGTTGACTATGCATAGCAATGGTCTAATAAATGGTAAACATTACTTTCAGTATATCTACAGAAGATAAAAAGAATGGTGCAAGTAGTCATTTAATTTAGTAAATATCACTTACATAGTAACTAATGTAGAAAAAATTAGATATACATTTTTGTTTGAGTACTGAATTATGAAAAGAAATTAATAGGATACTTAAAGGGAATTAATTTAAATATTCACAGGAATAAAACAGGATGATGCCTCCATATGAAAACACAGAATTCATAACAAAAAAGTCCTTGCTTTCTTCATATTTTCTGGCTCCAATCGACCCTAATTAGTAAAAGCTAGACGACACAAACAAACAAACAAGACAAATCACCAAGGCCATGTAAATAATTGACTCTCATTTTCTCAGTGTAAAAAAATCCTGTTTCTATTGCACATGTGAATAACTAAGCCTCTTTTCAGATGACCTCACCGGATACTTATTGGCTTAAAAATCTGGGGGAAAGTAACCTTGGGTCATAAATTTATCCAACAGGTACAAATCAAATAATTTCCCCTCGGCTAGTTTCCAGAACAAAAATCAACAAATCATTTAGACATGGGGCAAAACAAGAAGTGTAAAATGTTTGCTCTGTTTTGTTTCCACATTCTTCAAAATACCTTCTTTTGTCTTCCACAGAAGAAAGAAATGCATACAGGGATAGAATGACACGAAGGTGACTAAATGATGACAGATTTTTCATTTCTGGGTGGACTATCCCTTTAAAGATCTCATTCTGTCTTTTCTATCACTGTGATTAATCCGTTCTGTATCCTCTCTGTCTTTCTGCTCCCTTGTTCTCAGGTATACTGTAGGTGAGCCTGGTTACCCACAGTTCATCTGGCTCTGTGCCTCTCAATCACCGAGCCATCTCTGCGGGTGGAAAATCTGTCAGTGGGTGCTGCTCCGCCTGCTGGAGATTGATAGCTGTGGCCTTAGCTGCTGCAACTCCCACCACGGTCCAACAATTTTACATATTAATTTATGTTCTGTAGCGTTGTAATTGAGAGCGGAGGAGGGAGCGGGCTATTTGCAGAGAGACGAATGCCCCTCTCTCTATGATTTATGACACTAAGTAAAACAGGGTCATGTTTGCAAAAAGCCTAAATTATGGGTGGAGATATGCTGCTGTGGAAGGGAGAGAAGATAGGATTATGGGCGGAGAAATAATTAAATAGAATTTATATGATGTATTGAAACACTATGACTTGTTTTATAGGTGTATTTGTTAGGATGTCTGGTCAATGTGAATGAAAGGTACTTAATGTGTGAACTGTAAAGTTACCCCAAATTCAAAAGATCTGGTTACAGATTATTAAAGATAGCTATGCAACCCTACCAATATTAATATTAATACAGAATTATTTATATAAAAGAATATTATACAACAATATATTATATAAACATTAAGTAAATATTGACATAAATATTACCATTACAATGTTACTTTAAAATATTTTTTATTATTAATGTTGATACTGGTGTTAATATTAATAATTACAATTAATATTTAAAAAAAAAATTACCAGCCTTATTTTTGGGTTAGTGCATTATGGATTTGAAGATTGGTGAAATATATCTGACTAGATATTATCTAATATCTATCCAACAATAATTATGTATCTATGAATATCTGTTTAATAATTATAGATATTATTATCTAATATATATGTGACTTTTGGATGTTAGTCACAGTGTCACAAGCAACACTAGATCCTCCTGCTCCACCCACCCGAATTCTGATGCACTTCAGCTGTCAACACTAATCAAGTCATAGTATAAAGCCAACTTCTTGTCACCAACTCAGTGTCTGGTCTTGTTATTCTCTAGTGTGCATCAACTTACCTGGCTACTAACCCTGCTCTACCAACATGTTTGTTGAACCAATCCCAGTCGTCTGCCATCATTATTCTGTCTTCCTCCCAGCACGTTGTCTCAGCCTCACCCTGCAAAGAAACCTCAGTGACTGTTCAGTGAAATCTGCTCAAGATTTTCAACTTCTCTCACCTGTGATCATCGCTTGCTCCTCTCCTGAAGCCTGTAATAAAGCTCTGTGAGACTGTCATTTACCTGTGTTGTTTCCTGTTTCCTGACAGTAAGTGCTTTGTGAAATTATAAGTTTCATGTTTCTGCTTTTTAAAAATCCTTCAAAAATTGGCCACATTCACTTCCATTATAAGTGTCTCACCATAATTTAGTAATCGACATTGTCACACATGCTGTTGATAAACTGTCAAACAAAACTGGCGAAAGCATATTCATTTCAATGGCTGATCATGCATGATAAGACCAGGACGATGTATTAAGAAACGAAATATGATCAATTTTGATTTCAATTCCATTTTAAAGAATGTTTCATGCGTCCCAGCCTTGTCTGGGGCAACCGACGGAGCACAGGCCCAAACATGACATCTAAACGTAGTCTCTCTCTTTTTGTCTCTCCCTGTATCTTGGAAGCATGAATCTGAGCTGTCACTTGTAATAAAACCTAATTTGCTGAACTGAGGATATGAATAAGGATGGACAAGGTCAAGGCTGGCTGCTGGCAGAGGGGGAGCTTTGTAGCATACAGTAACATGATTAACTGATATGATATTACGTAGGCCTTTATTCAAAGGCTTTTTTCTATATTCATATTCTCTTTCACTCTCTCATAAAAACTAAGGCATGTAAGTAAATACGGCGAGAGTTTTGATTAGATTCTCCTTGAATAAAGTGCTTCTATACACACAGCCTTGAATATACTCATATCCCTCAGGACAAACACATTGTAGATGGACTTGGCAAACACAGAAAATTGACGGTTTAAGAAAAAATAACCTTTTAATGAGTCTCTTTCTCCTTTCGGGCGAGTCAGGCTCGATTTGAAGGAAGAGACAGGGAGAGAAAGAAAACACGGTTGTAATGAAGAATTAAAAAAAAAAAAAAAAAGTGTCCTTCGGTTTGATTTGAGGTCTTTGCAGTCCTTGCTCTCCTCACCTTTTTGTTAATATCATCTTATGTCTCAGAAATTACTTTATGAACCTATAAAAGGCACTTGTTTTTTTTTTGCCAGATACGGTCTGTTGGGTCACTTTGAAGGCTCAAGCGTTTCCGCTTTGAATTATTTTCTCAGTAGCCTTCTTTCCTTCATGCTGCTAGTCTTTGTGGTCTCCCTGGACTGCCAATGAAGTCTACAGGAGATTGTAAGTATCCCCTTGGGATCAAGGCTGGACTTTTGTGCTTGAGTATTTGGATCCTCAAAGAACACTTATTGCCTCCAATGAATGTACAACCTTCAAAAGCCATCAGTGAGTCTTAAACATGCATGCCGTCACGTCTTGTTTGATGTTGTCATGTTTTGTTGCACGTTTGTTTAGAGTGATGTGTTCAAAAGTGCTTGTTTCAGTTGTAATCACAAATAAATATTCGTACATTAAAATTGTAATTAGTAGTCCCTACAATTATTGCTCATACTTTGGGGTTAAGATTTGATTTGGGCCTGTAAGCAACTTCTCAGAACACCCTAGCAACCACAACAGTAACATGTTAAAAACCACTCAGAACATTTCAGCAGATACATAAGAAACATGTTTAAAAAAAAAAACACACACACACACAACACCCTAGCAGCCGCATAGGAAGATGTTAAAACCACCTTAGCAACTGCATAGCTATGTGCTAAAAAGCAGTCAAAACACCTTTGCAGCTGCATAACAACACCATGGCAACCACCCCAATACCTCAGCAATTGCATAGCAAAATGCTGGAAGCCACTCATAACACTTTAGCAACAGTATAGCAACTGCGGAATAAAGTGCTTCTATACACACAGCCTTGAATATACTCATATCCCTCAGGACAAACACATTGTAGATGGACTTGGCAAACACAGAAAATTGACGGTTTAAGAAAAAATAACCTTTTAATGAGTCTCTTTCTCCTTTCGGGCGAGTCAGGCTCGATTTGAAGGAAGAGACAGGGAGAGAAAGAAAACACGGTTGTAATGAAGAATTAAAAAAAAAAAAAAAAAGTGTCCTTCGGTTTGATTTGAGGTCTTTGCAGTCCTTGCTCTCCTCACCTTTTTGTTAATATCATCTTATGTCTCAGAAATTACTTTATGAACCTATAAAAGGCACTTGTTTTTTTTTTGCCAGATACGGTCTGTTGGGTCACTTTGAAGGCTCAAGCGTTTCCGCTTTGAATTATTTTCTCAGTAGCCTTCTTTCCTTCATGCTGCTAGTCTTTGTGGTCTCCCTGGACTGCCAATGAAGTCTACAGGAGATTGTAAGTATCCCCTTGGGATCAAGGCTGGACTTTTGTGCTTGAGTATTTGGATCCTCAAAGAACACTTATTGCCTCCAATGAATGTACAACCTTCAAAAGCCATCAGTGAGTCTTAAACATGCATGCCGTCACGTCTTGTTTGATGTTGTCATGTTTTGTTGCACGTTTGTTTAGAGTGATGTGTTCAAAAGTGCTTGTTTCAGTTGTAATCACAAATAAATATTCGTACATTAAAATTGTAATTAGTAGTCCCTACAATTATTGCTCATACTTTGGGGTTAAGATTTGATTTGGGCCTGTAAGCAACTTCTCAGAACACCCTAGCAACCACAACAGTAACATGTTAAAAACCACTCAGAACATTTCAGCAGATACATAAGAAACATGTTTAAAAAAAAAAACACACACACACACAACACCCTAGCAGCCGCATAGGAAGATGTTAAAACCACCTTAGCAACTGCATAGCTATGTGCTAAAAAGCAGTCAAAACACCTTTGCAGCTGCATAACAACACCATGGCAACCACCCCAATACCTCAGCAATTGCATAGCAAAATGCTGGAAGCCACTCATAACACTTTAGCAACAGTATAGCAACTGCGTAGCAACACCCTGGCAACCATTCTTGCATGCAGCAAGCAACAGTAAGGCCAGTAAGCAAACATCCAGAACACCCTTGCAACATGTTAAAAAAACACTCAGAACACACTTCAACTGCATAGCAACATGCTGAAAGCCACTCAAAACACTTTAGCAACTGCATAACAACAACATCCTAGCAATCTCATAGCAGCATGGTAAAAACTACTTAGAATGACTTAGCAACTGCGTAGCAACACCCTGGCAACCATTCTTGCATGCAGCAAGCAACAGTAAGGCCAGTAAGCAAACATACAGAACACCCTATAGAAACCGCATAACAACATGCTAAAACACACTCAGAACACCTTAGCAACCTCATAACAACATGCTAAAAAATAACATTCAGAATGCGTTAGCCGGCGAATAGCAATGCCATTGCAACCACTCCCAACACCTTAGCAACTGCACAGCAACATGCATGCTAAAAACCACTCGGAACACCTTAGCAACTGCATAGCGATTAGCGACATGCTGAAAATCACTCGGAACACATTAGCAACTACATAGCAGCACCCTGGCAACCACTCACAACACTTTAGCATCAAAAGCTGCCTTCATGCATGTTGTAATCAAGGCCAATGGAAAGCAAGCCTGCAACCTTTAACCAAAATGCATAACGGCTAGTGCCAAGGCTGCCGCTTAGGCGGTACGCAGGGAAGGAAACCAGAGGCTGTTTTTTTAAAGCTGTTTTCTCAAAAAAAAAAAAAAAACAGCTTATTTAAGATGTTTTCTCGCAGCCTATAGGCTAATCTTCAACTTATTTGCCATTTCACGAGTTCACACTTACATATAATCAAACTGAGCAAATAGTAAGCACATTTGGCATGCTGTCCAAGGGGAGAGCTCGAAGTGAGCAGTTGGGGTGGAGGAGGGATGCTGGAAAAATTGTCGTGGGATAGAGGTAAGTTGGCTATATATATTTATCATGCTAATTAAGTTGATTACCTGAATGAGCTTCACCTGTGCTGAATTAGTTGATTATCTGAACATGCTCCTTAATAAAACATCATTAAACAATAGTTTTGGATTGAACTATTTAAAAAGTTTAAACCCCAAAAAAAAGGCCTTTTAAAAAAGAAGTCAGATTTTTTTTTGTGACGGGTAAGATTTAGTTTATGGCACTTCTCATTCATTTCTATAGTATCCGTAAATGGCGATTGACTGTCACACAACTCTGTCTAAAATTCAATTACATCAAGGCTGTAATATAATTGGTTATCAAGGCACACATGTTCCAAGTTGACCGCTATGCTTTCTCCAATGATAAGTACTACAGACCCTTGTATCTCCCAACAGTAAGACCATCTCTGACATAATTACCATAATTCCGAGATGACAACACGTGATGGTCTACTTAGAGCTGTCCATGTTTTTCAACAGCTCTGCACTCAAGTAGCAACTAAATGAACCTGGCGGCATTCAGGTGGTATAGCGGGTCACGTGGTCCAAGTCGTAGCTCTCAGAACATTCGCAGACAGAGATTAAGTGCGTTCTGATTAACAGGGTCCCTATGCAGTGTACACTGCTCCCTACTCCCTAAGCATGGGATATCCATTGAAGTGGACTTCGCTGACAATAATCGCTCATTTGGAACGTTCTGAAACTTCATCAAAAAGAGGCAACAACGGGGTCATGCAGATTGTGATATAAATAAATATTGTCATTATACTTTCAAATTTATATACATATAAAATTCATATACAATTATGTATCTAATAAATATAGTCAAAATCAGAGCCGATCCTCCCTATACGCAAAGTACACAAGCTGCGTAGGGCCCCGAAACACCAGGGGGCCCCCTTGCTCTCAAAGATGATTTAATTTTAGTTTAGTTTTTGAATTTGGCCAGCGGTTATGAAAACCGCTTATGTCATTTCTTTTAATGCGGTGCGCTGTTGCCCTTTCTACTTCTGCCGGTTTTACTTAGTTTCACCAATTCATACAATACAATATGCAAATGTAACATCACCATAACCATACATAAAAACTCTAGTTTGTGTAATAATAACAAAATTCATGAGTACTCAAATGCATACGTGAACCCCTCCATTCCAGAGCCTTTAAAAACTCTTTCGACGGCTCTGCTCCATCGTTAGTTCTGACTGTTGACGCAGTGCGCAATGACAGTTGGGTGATTTTTCCTCTCCGCTTCCTGTGAAGTGATGTATCGATGTTCCCTTATTCCCTACGCTGTTCGCAGTGCCCTTTGAACTGAACATGTTCGCTCCCTTCCGACTGGAATTTCACTTAAGATGGCAGAATACCATGTTAAGGCTTGCCACACACTTGAAGATTTTAAGGCCCATTTAAAGCCCGATTTGCGCTCCTGAAGGATCGGGGGGCGTGACCTAATTTGAGGCTTGCCGCAAAAAATTTTTTGTCCAAAAAATCCTCTTTTGTCCAAAAAATCCTCTTTTGTGTGGTGCCATTACGATTATTTAACTGCTCCCGAACGAGACAGACCGTCCCTGAACTCAAATCGTAAATATCAAAATCTTGATCGGGCTGCCTCTGACATGATACCCGCGATAGCCAATGAGAACGAGCAAGCGTCACCGGATGTTGCGTGCTTCTATAACTAAAACTTGGCAGACACAAACATGCCACAAAAGCAGAGTACTGAGAAAGAACATCACCCATATTCTTTTTTTTCTACAACCAACAAGTGTATTGTCTCACAGTCTGGTTGAATAATCTTGTGTGTGCGTTCAGAGGATTATAAGGCTAAAAAATCGGTTGAAAGTGTCTTCTTGTCTGTGGTCTCCCATGGTTTTAAAATTGTTTAAGATTTGAAAATCATCTAGTGTGTCTCAGGCCTAAGTCCACTTCGCAGTCCACCAGGGTTGACAGGTTTTCACAACAAAACCCACCCAATTGCTACTCAAAACTAGCCCAAAACTAGCCCAATCACATTCCTTGGGTAAAATGCACATTTTTGGCAGGGTTTCCCTGGTAAAATTTGCATTCCAGGGGGCTAAATATCATGTTATTGGGGTCGCTTCAAAGTAGCCCAATTCCGCGGGAAAACCATGAACTTGGCAACACTGCAGTCCAATTAACGGTCAAATGGAACGCACCTATTGTCTTATTATTGGGAGATGCGAGGGTCTAGTGTACTCACCTTTGGAAAAAGCGTAACGGCTAACTTGGATCACGTGAGGCTCCTCAGCCAATCATACAATGGCCTCTGGTTTCCTTCCCTGCATACCACCAAAGCCGCAGTGTTTGCCATTCCAGGTGCAGTCTTGGCCTAATGGTTAGAGTCAGACTTGTAACCCAAAGGTTGCGGATTCGAGTCTCAGGTCCGGCAGGGATTGTAGGTGGAGGGATTGAATGACCAGCTCTCTCTTCCACCCTCAATACCACGATTGAGGTGAGAACCTTGAGCAAGGCAACGAACCCCCAACTGCTCACAGAGCGCTGCAGCAAAAATGACTGCCCACTGCTCCGGGTGTGTTGTCACTACTGCTGTGTATGTGCACGTAGATGGGTTAAATGCAGACCACAAATTCAGATTATGGGACACCATACTTGGCTACACGTCACATCCTTTCCTTAGTATTAGCAGTTACACTTTTTTGGCTAAAGGTTGCAAGCTTCCCTTCCAGTGGCTTTGTCCCAGCCTACAAAATGTAATTCCGAGTTTTGCGAGCACGTGTATGCTTTGGTGTTGATAGTGTTGCCATAAAAACGCATAATTATACATCACGTGTTGTCATCTTCGGAATTACGGTAATGACGACATGGCATGAACAGCTGAAGTGGTGTTTTTTGAATGGAAAAGTTTTTTTTTCTTTTCGTTTCAGAAAATGTAAATTGTTAGATTAAACCCAGGGAGCTTTTAAAATAATGTATAGCTTGAATCTACAGTGAGTTCCATTCTAAACACATCCTTGGATTTCATGATCTCTTCATCACACTGACTATGCTGTAGTCATTATTCCAAACTTTTCTTCATGATGAAATCCTTTCACCTTTCTCAATATGTGGGGGCAAGTCGGCATTGCAGACCAGAGATGTAAAGACCCTCCATATGAATGCTGTTGCTTTGTAATTACTTATCCATATTTTTCTCTTTCAAGGCCTCAATGCAAATGATCAGAGGGGGCACTTTGTATCCCGAGTCCTTGGGCCAAACAAACAAACCCCTTATGGATTGAATCTGGCATCCTCAATCCCTTTTTAATGATCTGACATATTTTTTTGCCATCCTTGATGTGCAAATTCTAATCAATAACATATTTTCATTTATATTTATGAAAAACAATGGTTTTCATTTGACCTTTGTCTGTTTTTCTTTCAAACAAAGAGAAAGCAAGATACATTTGCACATTTTATTAAAAACAATAAACCATAATATAACATATCTACAAATACACATTTTAGACACATTTTTATCGTGCATTTCAAATTCAGCTGTAAACATATACATATTATAACTAATGAAATCACATTCTCTGTATAAATAATATACTGTATAAAATTGTACCACTTTAACCTTGGCTTAAAGGTTTATTATTTTCCCTTAAAGTGACATTTAAAAAAAATTCATAACATGATCATATGTATTTTGATTAATTTTGAAGTGGGAGGAACGATGAAACTTTTAGCTGAACTTTAGCTTTGATTGACGTTCTCTTAAAATTGAATTTTCGTTTTATATATTTTTTCAGAAAAATTATAGTCAGCCAGATCTGACAAACTCAACCCTAAAGTAAAATGCTACAAAGAGCAGCTTGGTCTAACAAAACCTTGTGAACACATACAGTGGCAGTGACTCATCGTTGCCCTCTGGTGGAAATTTAAAGCAACAGCCATTGCCTTTAAAGCTTCCTTACATACAGTATAGACTAATGTGCCTCAAGAAACAAGCATGTAATTTCTCCTTAATAAATATAATTAATATGTTTTTGCTACTTAAAATTATAAAAAGGCATAGTTTATAATATATTAACATAAGTTAATATGTTCAACTGTGCATGTCCTTTTTAAAAGTCTTTCAGACACAGCAGAGGGTCACTTGTCCCTTCATGCTCTTGTGGATGTCTTGAACTGAAGGAAGGTCCAGAACTTTGTAGAGTGGAAGATTCGGCTCCTGGCTGTCGTTTGTGGTTTACTGATGATCCTGTGATCCTGTTTGGATGGCATTTGGTATTCAGATATCCACCCTTCTCCATTCATGTCCTCAATTGACACAGATCTGCCCGATGAGATTTCTACCAGGCATATGGGATCTCTGGTCGTCTGAAGACCCTCATCACATCCCATGCTCCACAGAGTAGATTCACAAAACATCTAAGGAAAGAAAAGAAAATGTTGTCATTTGCAGTGCTGTTTGTACAAGATATGTACTCTTTTAACCGATAGGTGGCAATGTGTTCCAAGCTAATAGTTGTTTCTTGGAGTCAAAAACCTTCTCTAGGTGGCGCTCGGCGGCTGAGAAACCTAATCCAACATTGGTCTGTTTTAAAGGGGTCATATGATGCTTTTTTAAAGATCATTATTTTGTGTATTTGGTGTAACAGAATATGTTGACATGCTTTAATGTTCAAAAAACACATTATTCTTCAAATACTGTACATTATTGTAGGTCCTCTATGCCCTGCCTCTCTCAAACGCTTCGTTTTCTACAAAGTCCCTCCTTCCGACAAGCGCAGTCTGCTCTGATTGGCCAGCTGACCCAGTGCATTGTGATTGGCCGAACACCGCAAGCACTCGTCGGAAATGTAATGCCCCTTACCATAATCGCAAGCTTCATCTTTCAAAATAAATGTAAAGACAG